ATGATTTTGCACACATGCTATATAACCAAAAAGTTTTTTCAACCATCGACCTGATTAAGGCATATCACCAGATACCAGTTGAACCGGGGGATATTCCAAAAACGGCGATCATAACTCCATTTGGATTATTTGAATTTACTAACATGACATTCGGACTTTGCAATGCAGGTCAAACATTTCAACGCTTCATTCACGAAGTATTACGAGATCTCGAATTTGCCTTTGCCTATATTGACGACGTCATTATTGCATCAGCAAACGAGGAAGAGCACAGGCAACACTTGCAACAAGTATTCGAACGATTCAGAAAACATGGTTTAATAATAAACGTATCAAAATGCGTTTTTGCTCAAAACACAGTAAAATTTCTTGGTTATCTCATCAGTGAAAAGGGCATTCAACCTCTACCAGATCGAGTGAAGAGCATCAGCGAGTACCCGCTTCCAACAAAAACAAAAGAATTAAGAAGATTTCTAGCATTACTTAACTTTTATCGCAGGTTCGTACCAAACGCTGTAGATTCTCAAACTGCACTTCAACAAATGATAAAAGGAAACAAGAAGAACGACAACACACCGTTATGCTGGACCGAAGTGAACAAAACAATCTTCCAAAAATGTAAAGATGAACTAACAAACTCGACACTACTTGTTCATCCGTCAAAAACTGCTACGCTTGCATTACAAGTAGACGCCTCGGATAAAGCTCTCGGCGCAGTTCTTCATCAAGTGACAGACAGCACGTTCCAACCACTCGGTTTTTTCTCTAAACGATTAACAGATACACAAAAACGATACAGCACATACGATCGTGAGTTGTTAGCCGCATATCAGGGCATAAAACATTTTCGACATATGTTAGAAGGTCGTGAATTCGTATTAATAACTGACCACAAGCCACTCACGTTCGCATTCCAGCAAAAGTCCGACAAGGCTTCACCACGTCAAGTCCGTCAGCTTGATTATATAGGTCAATTTACAACGAATATCGTTCATGTCAGCGGAAAAGACAACATCCCAGCAGATTTTCTCTCGCGGATAGATAGTATTAGCATCCCAAAAATCGACTACGATTGTATAATTGGATTACAACGATGTTGCCCACAACTACAAGATATCAAAAACAACAATTCCATCGAAATCAAACTTTTATCTTTACCAACAATATCAGATAAAATTTATTGCGAAGTTTCAACTGGGCGAATTCGTCCTTACATTCCGCAGAAATACCGGCTACATATCTTTAAAGCTACGCATGGGTTGTCTCATCCCAGCATTCGGGGCACAACAAAAATGATAGCTGAAAAATTTTTCTGGCCTTCTATAAATGCTGATATCAGAAACTGGACCCGACAATGTATCCCATGCCAACGTTCTAAAGTGCAACGTCACAACCGTTCACCTATTTGTCAATATGAACTCGCTGAACACAGATTCGAACATATAAACATAGATATCGTCGGCCCGCTACCACCATCAAACAACTGCACATATATATTAACCATCATCGACCGTTTCAGCCGATGGCCAGAAGCAATTCCGATCCCAGATCAAACAACGGAAACCATCGCAAACGCACTGATTACTCAATGGATCGCACGTTTTGGCGTACCCTTACGTATCACAACAGACCAAGGAAAACAATTTGAATCTTCATTGTTCAACCAACTAGCTGAAGTTATCGGTTGCAAACACTTACGAACTACGAGTTACCATCCTCAAAGTAACGGAATGGTGGAACGATTTCACCGCACATTAAAAGCAGCCTTAATGTGCCACCAAACAACTTCTTGGACAGAAGTTTTACCAATAGTATTGTTAGGTCTACGCACGACTTTTAAACCAGACATTGGAGCTTCTGCTGCTGAAATGCTATATGGCCAAACTCTACGTTTACCGGGCGAAATAGTAAGCAACCCTAGCCACAGAAATATAAATCAACACGATTTCATAACCAAGCTAAGAGAACAAATGCAGAGCGTCAAGGCAACGTTGGTATCGCATCATATAGACCGAGGCTACCACATTCAACCGGCTCTAAGCTCAGCCACGCATGTATTTATACGAAATGACAAGGTAAAACCACCATTGACGCAACCTTACGATGGTCCTTACCAAATACTAGAGCGAAATGACAAGACGTTTAGAATACTGATCGAAAACAAAGAACAAACAGTTAGCATAGATCGTCTTAAAGCTGCTTTCATATGTCCCGATACAGACATTGACATCCACAACAAATCAATGGTATACCACACTCCAAACAACGTTAATGGCGACCAATCTGTGCGACCAAATACAACAGCTAACCTGACAAAATCAGGACGCAACGTTCGCTTTCCAACCAAATTCAGTGACTCCATCACTTAGGGGGGAGTACTGTGGCAGCACCAAAAAATATAAATAAAAGAACTGTCAACAAGGCACAAAGGAGACAACAATAGCCGCAGTTCCCGCCAGTAGTAGTTTGGAAAAAGAAAAAGCAGCACGTGAATAAGACGTAAAAACATAAATCTTAACTTTAAGAATATTTTATAATAACTAAGTATAAGAAATAAATAAACTTATCCATTACCAATACGGAGTGTTAAATTAACTTATCCATTACCAATACGGAGTGTTAAATTCGAAATAAACCCCAACATAAAAAACCACTACAGGTTTTAAAATTTTATGAAATTTAATAATTCAAATATGTGTTTGATATATTTACATTTGATATATTATTTAGTTACTGTTTCCATATTATTTATAGTTACTGTTCATAAAAACACTTATATATGTTGCCGAAAAGTATTTTAGGAAATCCTTTTGATTTAAATTTGATTTGAATTATTAATATAATTTAAAATAAAGTAGTTCACGGATAAATACTTTCTGCTTAAAAGCGTTTTTACTGTTAAATACTTGATAAATAATAAATTATCCGGAGCTTCTCGGATAAATTTGACGAAATATCGGAATTTTTATGAACGCCTATAAATATGAACTACTGTAAACATGTAAAGAAAATTGTAATAAAGTAGATTAATATATTTTAATAATTGTAATAGATTTCCAAGCATAGGATTTGCAAACGTAACAAGAAAATTTAGTTTTGTTTAACACAACATAACTGACTTAAAAAATAGTAAAACTAACAAGTAAACAATAAAATCACTTTCTAAATTACAAATTGTTCATTTTATAAATGAACATTATTTTTATATGTATAACAAGCAGTTGAGAATTATACAGAGCAATTTAATGTGTAAAAAAATATTACCAAGCATTCGCTGGTGCCAAGAAATATTTGGAATTACACCTGTTGAATTAACAAATGCAACTCTTCATGAATGTTTAAGGAATGTCATACTTGACCAATTTTATTAACTTCGATTTGTTGGAATTTTGTTGTAATAAATTTTAGATTTTGTTTTTATTAGTTTTTATTTTATTAAACAATTTTAATAAATTTAAAGTTCTAAAATGGTAAGTATTTAAGATAATACTAAATTAAAAGCATATCCGTAGATCAAAAATCAGAAGGGATCTTTATTCTAAAATATGTGAAATTATGATAAAATTATTATTTGTTATATTACTCATTTGTATTGATAAAAATGTATCTCTTTTAAGGCACGTTATTTTAAAGAACAAGATATAGACGGTATGTTTATGCTTCATTTAAAATTATATCTAATTAATTACATTGTTTTCAAAACCGGAAGTGAAAGCGTCCCACTTAAGTACAGACATTAAAGCATTAGTAAAAAATTATCTTTACAGAATTTCGTGAGTGTTTTTACTTATTCGCACGATCAGGCCAAATTACTACTTTAGACGAATTGACCGTCATAATGCGTTCTTTAGGGTTATCACCCACTATACAG